CCATCCTGACAATACTTTTTTTTTTTTAATTATTCATTGCTTTTGTTGTTGTTGGAGGGTTAACATTTATACTAATACTTTAGTATTTATTAATTTTATGTGTTCCAGTGTTGGGCATAAGATACAAAATAGTTGGCACAGGGCATTAAAAGATCATTTCTCAACACTATATTTCAGGTATATGTTATCAAAACAAGTACAGTTTTGGCCTGAAACTTCAAGGTCTTTCACAGCTTGTGGACACAGACTGCACATTGTGTCTGTGCTACTTGCTCTTCACTCAGCTTTCAACAGTGAATAGAAGGCAGTATTTCCAAATGGCACAGACCACTCCAAGAGGTATTGGACTGACTGGCATCAGTAATAAAAAAAAGGAGTTGAATTTTCCAGTATTCACAGTAACCATGTATCTTAGGTGCTTTACACAACTCTCAGTATAGGCACAGAGGTGCTATTTAAAGCTTTTACACATTGTGAGTTTGGAAGCTCTGTCTAGGGTGTATGAAGTCACCTAAGCCTTTGCATTTCTGCTGGGATCAGCTGGAGCAGAAGCACGAGTTTAAAAGAGGACACTGGCACTTAGCCTAAGAGAAAATAACTGGCAATAAATCCTTCCTCTAAAGTACTTGGATAATTTGTAGGTTAGAGATTAAAAAAAATCAGTAACTGAGGAGTTTCAAAATGCAAAAACAATCTTGTGTGGTTTTGGTTATATTTTAAAGAAGAAATATATTTCTGAAGTAGTTCAGTAACTGAAGGATGTATCTGTCTATTTAGGCTCCTCTGTCCCCAAGTTTGAGCTTCAGTAGTGAGCACCTGGTGGGAAGGCAGGGCCAACCCTGAGGAGCTCAGGTGCATGCAGTGTACCTGAGTGACTGGAAGGAGTGGAGCCAGGATCCACCCCTTGCCATACCTCACTTAAGGGCTGGCAATGGAGGTGACAGCATTTCATGCTGGAGTTCCCTGCTTGCCTAAGGCCTTCCAAAGATGAGCAGCTTTTATTTATCCCTTAATTTCTGTATCTGCTGTATTTGGGCTTGTTCTCATTTCCTGTAGCCAAAGACTTCACCACCCTGCTATTAGCGTGGTGCTTTCCATCCCATTATATCCCATTACACATATACAAATCTCTACCTTGAATAACACGATGAGCTTGGCCTGTGTGGGAGCATGGTTTGGAGTTCCTGAATTTCTGATGCTCAGACCACCAATAACAGCATGGTTATGGCAGTCCATAACTACTCTGCAGCATATTTGCTTTCATTTAACTCTTCTTTCATTCATGAGTTAACTCTTCCATCAGTGTTAATTCTTGCACCATATCTAACCAGCCACCATAAAAAAAAAGTCTGTACTAAATGTTACCTAGATGTTTGCTAAAGCAAGCAGACATCTTTCAGATCACTTAATCAGCTATGAAATGGGAAAGTGATATTTCTAATAAACTTCTTGGATCTTCTTCTAGTTGAAAATGCTTGAATGATAAAGCAAGCAACAAAGCATTTGTGTATTTTCCTGTGCACGCTGCTATAATTTCTACTGTGCTTTGCACCACTGAGTGCACAGCTGGCACTGGGGCTTTGCTAGATGTGTCCAACTATAGCAACCTATAAAAATGCCTTGTTTTCCAAAAGTTAAAGATCCCTAGCAACCTATATGTTTTCCATAGATTTTTTTTTTTTTTTCAAGGAATATTGAGGCCAATTTTTGTCATATGCTTATCTGCTGCATAGGATTTTTTTACAAGTTAAGAGGGCCACAGCTAGGTCTGGTGTTGTTGTACGCACTGCAGGGACTATCTGATGCATACTGCAGTGTTTCCATGCGCAGACAGAATCAACAAAGAGAACATGAGCACTGCTGCATTGTTTGCCCAAGACAACAAAGACGGTCTTCGGTAAAGACATTTCTGATGAAAAATCCACAGCTATATCGCACTACTATATATTGCACTACTATGTATTGCACTACTATGTGCTTGTGGAGCATTTATTTTGTGTGTTTGCATTTCAGATGTCTGAAGGATTTTAGATCTTAATTGTGGCCACTACTTCCACAACCAGTGTAGTTTTCCAGCTGTTCACTTTCTAGTTTTGAAATTGCTTGGGTTATGAGGCAGGCATCATCTGTAACACTGCATGAGCGGAGAAATGAGGTGAAAGATGCTTTCAGCCATCACCTTGAGATCTCATCTTGAAGGCCAAACAACCTGGCCAGGCAAGGCAAAAAAAACTAGAAGGAAAGGGAGAAGTTCACTTGTTCTCCTGGAAGGACTCCAGATATATTTAGTTTTATCCCTGAGATATATTTAGTTTTATCCCCAAGTTATGTTGAAATAACATCCTGTGTAACTTAACCCTAACAGCAATAGCTGACATTTAGGTAACTGTAAAATAAAAAGGGCCTATTTTGTATTTTTGTAGAAACATATTCAATCACCTCCAAAATCCAAAATAGATAACTTTGAAATATATTTCCTGAAATATATCTAAAACCAAACCTACATTTATGATTACACTATACACTCAAAAGTGTTGTCATCTAAAGAGGAATTTATCAGGTGTTAGGCACGGGGTGTACTGGCCAAGTGCACAGTGGGTACATGCCATGTGAACTAATCAGAGTCTCAGGTGAAATACAAGCACTACAATTTACTATTTTTAGGCAGCTGGGATATTTCTCTGTGTGACCATGGTGTTGAGGGCAACCATAAGGCAACATCTCAACAATCGAGGTATGTTCAGTCTAAGTAAAAAGTCATCATCAGTAAAAACATACAAAGCCTTATAGCAGTTATTTATAACCTATGCAGAAGAAACTTCTCTGTCTCTATGAGGAATTACAGAAATAAGTGGATCACAGAAATAATCATAGAGTAAACTATTTTAATAAAGCTCTCAAAATCTTCTCTTTCTGGATGGAATTCACAGAAATCAGAAAAGGTTTTATTTGTACTTCAGTGAATGACTTCCCTTAGTTTACATTAATCAACTACAATAGAAAGCAACAATACTCAATTTGCTAATATCTCCTTTGAATGCATAATATTGGCAATAGCAAAGCTTGTCAATATATATCATCATCTCTTTCAATACTTAGAGCAATTTGAAAATTGAATTACATGTGGTTTTTGTGTGTATCACTGATTCCCAAGACCTTTGACTTCTAAATATGTTTCTTGGCAAGTTTTTAGTAGGCAACTGAAAAGGAAGTAGTCCTTGTCCACTTGACAGTTCTGTGAACCTGAATGTAAAATGTAATCCAAATGAAAAGACAAAAACCAAGTTTAAACAGTTTGAACTTTGGTAATGTATCATCATTTGAGGCTGACAGAGGACTTTTCCAACATAACATTAATAATCTGTCAATGAAAGCAAAACAGGAAAGATTACTTTTTCTGCAGCCTATGTAGCCACAATTAAAAAAAAAAACAATCTGCTATAGATAAGGAGCTAGTTTGTTATCATCTTTCAGTGCCCCTTTTTCTGCTTTTCATTGACTCTTTCTAGTGATATACTCTAGCATAAAATTCAGCATATCTTTTGTATTGCATCAAGGAAACTGTTGGAAGATATTTTTCTTGCACACATTTAGCCATGTTATACCTGCAGAAACAAAGGCCTATGCTGCAAAGTCTCAAAATGAAGCCAAATTTGTGACTTCTATTTCAATTTGCAATTCAGTTTTCTTTCAAGAAAGATCAAGCATAGAATTAGTTTTGAACTTATTAACCACCCAGGGTTTCCTATGTTTCATTAGCTCCAGTTCTATGCTGCATTAAATGCATAACCAACTCTTGCATTGCTTTTACTTGATCTGAGAGGTTTGATTATTATTTATTCACTTTGTCCTCAATTTACTCATGTGACCAACATACTAAATGGAAGTGAGAATTAGTCCCTTAAATACAGAGTGGCTACCTACTCTGCATTCTGGTAGGAACGTGATTATGTTTAGCTGGTTATCTTCGAATACAGATGTTAAACCTGGCTTACAGGTACGTAAGAATTGTTTTAATAGATCAGATTTTTTCCTCCAAGAATATCCTTCTGGCCACAGTAAGTGATAACATGTTGGCAAGAATCCCAAAGGCAAAGCTTCTAGTTGTTATGTACTGACCTAACTCCATGATAATTTAAGCTCAGGAGGACATATAAATAACTGTGTTCACTTCTCATTGTCTTCCTTTCTTAAATAGACTATTTCTTTTTATTGTTGGTTGTTTGTTTTTTTTTCAACCAATAATTTAAGATAATTGGAGTTTGAATCCTATAAGCTTTTGAACCTACTTCCTAGTTTCTGCCACTCAGTTGGAATATGCATAACTGTATTCTTCACAGGAAGTCTCAGGATTTTAATTTTTTCATATCTGATTTTAATACTGTTGCCACCACTTCTTTATACATCTTCTACCATTTTTCCTCTAAGATATTCATATGTATAATAGCAAATCCTTGCAATGTAGAATTTAAAAACTGAATTGAGTAAGGAAGCAATTCTATAAAGAAGCAATTCAGTTGAGTACAGTGTCTAAAACTCACCTCCTCTGGTCTGAGTTTTAGGTCATTGTACTCTACCTTTAAAATATTGATTTTCTTCTTGTTCTAGGAGGTTTAAAACACTGTTATTAAGCAAGGTTAACTGGGATATTCTGATTTTTGACCACTCTGTCTATTTTTATAAAGTCTTTATTCTCCCCTTTTCATTACTTGTCTTGCTCAGGTGGCCACATATTGCCATTAATCTTAGATAACGTATTAATTGGTATCTTCATATCACTTCACTTTGTGAAATTCACATTTCTGATGCTTTTATCTTCTGTCACTTGTTTTGTGCACCTTTAGTCACATCTGACCAATGTTAAACAAAATTTCCTCTGAAATCTTTTTTTTTCTCTGTATTTGAGACACTCAGTGAAGATTGACAGACTTTGTGTTCAGAAGAGTGACTCTTCTACAAACTTCTCGTGTTGATTTTATGTTGTCTTTTCTTTTGTGCAGTAGCAGCAGTTCAAAATGATGTCTCAAATTGCCTTCATCCATATGAACAGCTGATTCTTCAGTCCTTATCCAGTGAGGAAAGTTGTGTTTTCAGACAAAAAAAGATGATTCACAAGGAGATCACAGAGTTGTGGGGGTTGGAAGGGACCTCTGAAGATCATCAAGCTCAACTCCCCTGCAAAGCTGGCCCCCTACAGCAGGCTGCACAGGTAGGTGTCCAGGTGGATCTTGAATATCTCCAGAGAAGCAGAATCCACAACCCGCCTGGGCAGCTTGTTCCTGTGCTCCATCACCCTCACTCTGAAGAAGTTATTTTGCATATTGATGTGGAACTTCTTATACTTCAGTCATGACTGTTTCCCCTTATCATAGAATCATAGAATCACCAAGGTTGGAAAAGACCTAAAAGATCACCCAGTCCAACCGTTCACCTATTCCCAATAGCTCCTACTAAACCATGTCCCTCAACACAACATCCAGCCTTTCCTTGAACACCCCCAGGGTCGGTGATTCCACCACCTCCCTGGGCAGTCCATTCCAGTGCCTGACCACCCTTTCTGAAAAGTAATACTTCCTCATGTCCAGCCTGAATCTCCCCTGCTGTAGCTTGAAACCATTCCCCCTGGTCCTATCACTAATGACACAAGAGAAGAGGCCGACCCCCAGCTCACTACAACCTCCCTTCAGGAAGTTAGAGAGAGCAATGAGGTCTCCCCTGAGCCTCCTCTTCTCCAGGCTGAACATTCCCAGCTCCTTCAGCCTCTCCTCATATGGCCTGTGTTCCAGACCCCTCACCAGCTTTGTTGCCCTCCTTTGAACACGTTCCAGGCCTCAATATCTTTCTTGCAGTGAGGGGCCCAAAACTGGACGCAGTACTCGAGGTGCGGCCTCACGAGTGCTGAATATAGGGGAACAATCACCTCTCTGCTCCTGCTTGCAACACTGTTTCTGATGCATGCCAGGATGCCATTGGCCTTCTTGGCCACCTGGGCACACTGTCGGCTCATGTTCAGCCGAGCATCAATCAATACCCCCAGGTCCATTTCCTCTATGCAGTCCTCCAGCCACACCGCCCCAAGCCTGTAGCGTCACCTGGGGTTGTTGTGGCCGAAGTGCAGGACCACAACCCTTGTCCTGTCCCCAGAGACCATGAGAAAAGAGGTTGGCCATGTCTCCTTGATTCCCACACAGATATTTACGTGCATTAATAAGATCACCTCTCAGTCTTCTTTTCTCAAGGCTGAACAGACCCAGGTCACCCAGCCTCTCCTCACAGGGGAATACTCCAGGCCCTTTATCATCTTTGAGGCCCTTTGCTGTACTCTTTCCAGGAGACCCCTGTCTTTTTTGTACTGGGGAGCCCAGACCAGGATACAGACTGGCCAGGGCAGAGTAGAGGGGGAGGATCACCTCCCTTGACCTGCTGGCACGTTCCTTTTAATGCACCCCAGGAATCCCATTGGCCTTCTAGGCCACTAGGGCACACTGCATGGCCAACCTGTTGTCCACAAGACCCCCAGGTTCTTCTCCACAGAGCTCCTCTCTAGCAGTTCATGCCTCAGCCTGTTCTCAGGTGCAAGACTCCACTCTTGCTTTTATTAAACCTCATTTGGTTTATTGTTGCCCAGCTCGCCAATCTGTGCAGGTCTCTCTGAATGGCAGCACAGCCTTCAGCTGTGTCAGCCACTCCTCCCAACTTTGTATCATAGGCATACTTGATGAGGGTGGGCGCTATCCCCTCATCAAGGCTGTCGATGAAGACATTGAACAAGACTGGTCCCAGCACCAACCCTTGGGGAACACTACTACTCACAGGTCTCCAACCAGACTCTGCATCACCAATCACAACCTCTGAGCTCAGCCAGTCAGCCAATTCTCAACCCATTTCACAGTCCACTCATCTATCCCACACTTTCTCAGCTTCAAGATCAGGGGATCATGTAAGATGGTATCAAAAACCTTGTTGAAGTCAAGGTAGATGACATCCACTGCTCTCCCCCCATCTACCTAGCTGGTGATGCCACCAGAGAAGGCTACGGGGTTTGTCAAACATGATTTTTCCTAGGTGAATCCATGCTGAAAATGAACTTCAGAAGTTCCTGATTAACTTCTTCTCTTCCAATTGCTTGGAGATGACATCTAGAACAAGCTGTTCCATCACCTTTCAAGGGACAGAGGTGAGACTGACTGGCCTTGAGTTTCCTGAATACTCCTTCTTTCCCTTTTTGAAACTGGAGTGACACTAGCTATCCTCCAGTCTTCATGCACCTCTTCTGTTCTCCAAGACCTGACAAAGATGATAGTGATTCAACATTCACCTCTGCCAGCTCCCTCAGCATGTGTGGATGCATCCCATCAGGGCCCATTTGTGCACATTGACCCCACCTAAGCTCTCGTGAACCACCCCCACTTCAACCAGAGGGAAGCTCTCAATTTCCCAGACAGTCTTCCCTTCAGGCATCCTGAGGGTGAATCTTTGAAGTGAAGACCAAAGCAAAGGAGGCATTCAGCATCTACACCTTCTCAGCATCTCCACCTTCTCAGCATCCCCCATTACCTGGCCACCTCCCTCGTTCAGCAGGGGACCCACATTATCACTAGTCTTCCTTTTACTATTAACATACATTTAAAAACCCCTTCTTATTATCCTTACTCCTTCTCCAGCTTCAGCTCCAGGTGAGCTTTAGCCTTCCTCTTCACTTCCCTGCATGTCCTGACAACACTCCCTATGCTCCTCCCAATAGGGCAAGAACTTTTGCTGCATTTCATAAGCCTTCTTTTTCCCACCTACTCCCAGATGGAGCTCATTACATTCTAGTTGGTCTCTCGCATAGAGGGGCAGCTCCTCCACCTTGCTTCCTCAGCCTGACTTTCCAAAAAAGAACATAATCCTCCATAGACAGCACTCCAGTCACATAAGCTGTCCCACCAGGTATCTGTGCTTGCAGTGAGAAGCTATCCTATTAATTTCCTGTGCTGCACGCAATGGTATGCAGGCACTTAAGGGAAGCAGCAGGTGTAAGTATCCCATTGTTTTGCCCTGCAACCATTTTGAAAATAAGATTTGTCCTATTTGTGCTCCAGACTTAAATTAATACTACATATAGTTTGAGTACCTATATGTAATTGTTATTTTACACACTGTCTTGAAAATGATTCTTATTTTTCATTGTAAATTATTTGTGGAGAGGACATGGTATGCATTTATGAAATTAATCTCCATAATTAACAAAACCTTCTTCTATTGTCTACTAAATTTTCCTGAACTCTTCTTCACATGCTTGAGCAGAGGTTAAAAGAGTCAAGGTCAGCTGAGAATCTTCTGACAAAATATCTCTGCGCGTGAAAAAGTACGTACATGTAGGATAGGAATTTCAACCAACAGAGCAAAGTCAATTTATTTTATTTTATTTTTCACACACTGTAGTAAATTAGTTTTAGCACAGGGCAAGTCTTTGCACTGATGGGAACTATGTAAACATTCAGAGAGATTCATTATCATTGTTTTAAGCATTTCCATCCACTCACGAATCTTGTTACAGAAGAAAGAAAGAAAGAAAGAAAGAAAGAAAGAAAGAAAGACAGACAGACAGACAGACAGGAAGAAAGATACTGTTTTGTGCAGAGCTTACCTGACACTTCTGCTGTGACATGGTGCCTGTCATACTTTGAATATATTTTCCAGCTGTTTCAAATTTTTGTCTCTTTACACTTGGGAGAGGGGAAATCACACTATCAGACTTACCAGCTGTTCTTGGTGTTATCTGGACTGGTTTTAATGCCCAGGAGGGAATACTGTTCCTTCATGAATTATGAAACTCTCATACGTTCATGGTACTGTGGTGAGCTTGGGTGAAATCTGCCAGGTGGCTCTTCTGTTCTTGCCTTGGAGATGTGGTTATCTTTCAAAGAACCCATCACTGACTAAATGTAGACTTCAGTAAATAAAACCACAGAGCCTTATTGTTGGGATCATCCTTACAAAAGTTTCTTGGTCTCTCACGATCCATAAACTTATGTACTGTGAAATGTTTGCCTACGAATGATCTCAGTGCAGGTTTCCCTTTGTAACACTTTGAAGGTGGGTTCTCATTTCATCTCACGCACGTGAATATCTACCTGCATAGAGTGTGTGAATAGCAAAGCCCTAGGGAGAATTAAATAACATTTATCCTGTACTTCCAATTGATTTACTTCTGATGTGCCCATTAATTTATTGCAAGAGATTCCTATGAGACTTTTTGAAACTACATACGAATGTGAAGATTCCTTACAAATGTGAGACAATGTAACATTTACATTCAAACGGATGGCTGAGGATAAGGAAAAAAAAAAAAGTGGCAGCAAAGAGGGTTATATCTTGATTTTTCCATAGAGATGTTTTCAGGCACTGAGAACGTGCCTGTGCATTTGTGCAGTCAGAAAAGAAATAAGCAATATAAGCTTTTCCAGTATTAAAAAAAAAAAAAAAAAAAAAAAAAAAAAAGATTTAATTGTAAATATTTGGCATTAGAACACCAATCCAGAACAAGAAGAAAGCCTAAGGCGCTCTGTAGGAGCTGGTTAGGGCAACTGCCATAAAAAGCCTTCGATAAATGGCTTTATTGTATTGCCCTCTACCGAAACTACCGAAGATTGCAGACTGATGCTTAACGCGGAGGAAAAAAAGCTCGGGCAGGAGAGCCGTGAGATGGGTACAAATACGTTGTTTCACACTGCTCAGCAGAGTCGCAGATTCGAATACTTCTGGATTTGGAATCCAAAGAGGGGCTCGGGTTTTGTTCTGTCTCACTGAAGGGATATTCATTTCTTTAGAGAAGAATCTGTGTAGGCAGGACAGAGATCCGAAGTTATAAACTTGCCAAGAAAATGGGTATTATATCCTTGAACTTACAGGAAAAGAAAAAAAGAAAGCTTTCTGAATTGCAGAGGCAGATGGGTTCAGAGCTGATGAGAGAACTGTTGCATGAAACTGTGAGGAAAAAATCTCTCTGGGTCCTGTGCCTCAGATTATTATTATTTTATTATTATTATTATGTTTGCATGTTGAAAGAAAGTTTTGCGTGAAGCTATGAAAGTATTTAATTACTGTATAGGTGAATTAGCCAATTTTACACACTGGAATAATCCCTTAAAAGAAAACCTTCTTTCCATACAAGGAATTTGAGAAGCTGAATTACTTGTGGCAGCAAGCTGAAGATCTGACTTGTTTTGTGTAAAAGATGAAAGATCAGGCCATGACTCTTGGCTCTCTAAGATGCACTGGGGGTAGTTTCATTCCACCCAGTTAATTCATGGGTTTTGTACTCTTGTTCAGCGTTAGCAAGGTCACCCAAGCCTTTGAATGGAAAAGAAAAAAAACAATATATCAAAATGACAGTTTTAAAGAACCAAGATGATAGAGTTCTGTGTTTGTTGGATTTCTCACAAATAAGGCAGCAGAACATCTCTAAGTAAAGAAACACATTTAGGTGTTCCTTCTTCCAAAGGCTAATTCGCAGCCCTACAGCACTGCCCACAGTTTGTTGTGACATCCTTGCTGGAACCGAGAATTTATAAGCGTTGTTTTGCTTGTCTTGTCTCAAAGTGTTGAACTCTGCTTTTTGTGACTTTGAATGAGCAGGGTAAAAGTTAGGAGGGCTCACCTGTATTTTTAAGGAAGCCTTACTGATATTGTTTTTACCTTAGCATTTCATAAAGCACATTTTGATTGCTGAAGTAGCTGTGGTACCACTGACAATAAAAGCATGTTAGCATGCAGCATCTCCTTATGCAGCGTGTCAAAGTTGGAGATGTGTTGTGAAAGTCCTTCAAATACCTCTGTTGTGAGGATGATGTAAAAAGGCTCATTTACAGAATTTACTCTAGTGAATTAATTGCTCATAGAAACAGAGAGGGTTCCTGCAAAACTGTGATTTGAGGCCAAAATGCAGTACTATCCTAGGTGTGCCTCATTACATAGCTGGGGGTTTCCATAGGTGTCTTGTATTTATTGTATAAGCATCTTGTATGTATTGTATCACCTCTTGTAGTGGGGAAATGGAGGGATCTGTTCTGTCTCGGTTTCTCGAGTAAGCAATGAGACTTCGCTGGAGGTAAACTGACGTCTAAAGGAATAGCGACCTCAGCAGACCGACAGGTGACGTTACTTCAATTTTAGGTCCTCTTCTTTTTGTGAAATAAAGGTAAAGGAAATTGTTTTACATTAAACGTTCCATTTCACATTGAGTGAGACTGAGGAAAAAAAAAAAAAAAGTAAGTATTTAGCAAATAAAGTCCACATACTTGATGATGCACATGAAAAGTGTCTTCCTTCTGTCTTTTTTTGACACTGTTGCCATGAGAGTGAAACTCTGAAAATCTTGTTTTCACTGAAGAAGGAATTTTCTGCTGAGGACTGACAAAGCAATAGAACAGTATTAATAGAATACTGTACAGTATTACTGTAATTACTTTACAGTAATAATAGAACAGTACTCAGCCCATTTAATAAAATACAACACTTTGTTTTTGTGATTACTCTTTATTGTGAAAAATGATCACAATGATACATAGTGCAGTTCACCTCTCTTCTGCTTTGTCTTATAGTGATATGTACATATAGAACACATCTAAATTTGCCTTTAAAAATAAATAAATACATAATGAACAATGGCTTAAAATGTCTTGAGTGAAACATTCCATAACATACCTATACCTCTGGTGATTTCCAGCATCAAAGGTCACCCTTTCTTCTGATCACTTAGCAGCCTTTACATTAATTTCATGCTTTATGAATTGTAATAAATTTTTTGCTTATGTGGTTAGATGCTAAGAATGAAGTTCACAACAGACTGGATTTTGTAAAATGGATGTTTTTTTCTTTTTTTTTTTTTTAAACAAAGTTTTTCAGAACCATCCACTGCCTGTGTTTTTAGAAAAGTAAAAATTGCAAAATTTATCATGTGCCAAGGAAGAGCATTTGTTCAACTGTGCTCTTAAGTTGTGTAGTAATGAATAAACAGTAAAATACATGACTGTGACTGGGAATAAAACCAAAGCAACTGATCTTCGCAATGCTTTTTTGGACACTGAAGGCTGCTAAGAAGAGAAAATGTGGAAAACAAAAGAATGATGATATAAGATGCTGAAGCGAATAAACATACAGTCTATGGTAATTAGTGTATATTTTAGATATGCTGC